GTGTGTGTGTGTGTGTGTGTGAGAGAGAGAGAGAGAGAGAGAGGGGGGGGGTCACATCACTGTGGAGTCAGCTGTCTTAACCGTGGCTTGTGTACTGCAAACACATACTAGCTTCATCACTGTGTCTGTCACGCGACTCTGTTCCCTTTTCGGGCTCTGTCTTTACATTTATTTTGAAAGATGAAGCTTGCGATTATGGTAAGGGGCGTTACATTTCCGACGAGTGCTTGCGGTGTTCGGCCAATCACAATGCACTGGGTCAGCTGGCCAATCAGAGCAGACTGCGCTTGTCGGAAGGAGGGACTTTGTTGAAAACGAAGCGTTTGAGAGAGGCGGGGCATAGAGGACCTACAATAATGTACAGTATTTGAAAAATAATGTGTTTTTTGAACATTAAAGCATGTCAACATATTCTGTTACACCAAATACACAAAATAATGATCTTTAAAAAAGCATCATATGACCCCTTTAAAGCTATTTTTGCTCAGTTTGCTAAATATCTCTCAAAAGTTACGATAAAAATAAAAGCAGTGCTGTTATGTTGCGATGGACAACAGCGAAATATCCGGGTTAGAGTCCATTTTAAGTATCTTTAAGCTTCTGCTGCATAGTCCATTTACATCGCAGCAACAAAATGCATTCAAAAATAGAAAATTTTACTTTTTTATAAAAAAAAAATGGCAACAACTTAAAGCTCTTATAACGATATTTTTGTCTGCTTTAACTGAGGACTACCATTTTAAATATCTCTCAAAAGATACAAGCAAAATAAAAGTAGCACCAATCAATGAAGTCTAAAAGTCTGAGACTTAAATGCTTTACACTTTTTCTAAGTTCATATAAAATTGGTCGTTATTAAATAATATCAGCATGGCAATCAGTTAAGAACTGAATTGGAAAATGTGTATTATAATCTCCACTTTTTTTTACTGTTTGTTAGGCCTTTAAACCCTTATTATTATTATTTATCAATTATTACTATTTTTATTATGACAGCAGTGATGATCCATCATATTCAACGGAGCTTCTTGTGCTTCAAAGAAAAAAAGTTGTTCACATGTTAAATGTCACTAAATTTCTTATATTTGATTAGTGACATAAAAAAATTATTTAAAAAAATCATCTATATATTACATATTTTTATAGTACATTACATTTATGTTTATATTTATACATTTATTCGTTCATTCATTTATTAATTTATGCATCATAACTTTCCTTTTTACTTTTCTAAATCCTAAAACTTTCTGTTTCATTTCCCGGTTTAAATTGGGGGGGGGGGGGAAATATCCCAGATTTCCAAAATCATCTCAAGACTTTTGGAGCATACTTTCTTTTATGAATATTTCCCTTCCTCATTTTTGGAAACTGAATGGTGATGCATTCTCAGGTTGAATTTACTGATGTTGTGCTACAGACATTTACATTTTCTGCTTAAAAATGAAAATAAAAAACAACATCTAAAAACTTCATACCTGCTGCAGGTGATGTTATAATCACATTTGAGCTTTTTCTCCTAAATGTCTCAGGTAAATTGACTAAAAGTCAGGAAAATATTACTTCAATGTCACATGAAGGACAAATGATTGATCAGCATTTCCACGTACACTCTTAAAAATAAAGGTGCTTCAAAAGGTTCTTCAAGCGATGCCATAGAAGAACCATTTTTGGTTCCACAAAGAACCATTCAGTCAAAGGTTCTTTAAAGAACCATCTCTTTCTTGCCTTTTTATAATCTAAAGAACCTTATTTCGCCACAAAGAACCTTTTGTGAAACAGAAAGGTTCTTCAGATGTTAAAGGTTCTTTATGGAACCATTTAGACAAAAGGTTCTTCTATGGCATCGTGAACTACCTTTATTTTTAAGAGTGTAGTCTTGAGAATCACTGGAGAACTGGAAAATTAAAGGCCTAAGGTGTGTGTGAATTTATTCTTTAGACTACTCATTCATGTTATTCAGTAAAGATGTGGGTGTGTCTTTCCTGCACTACTTCAGTAGTAACAGACAGACGTCTGTGTGAACAAAGGTAATAAAACCAAAATAGCTACGTCTCCAGCCCCCTTCAAAACCAGTGAGCGCTTTGATCATTATCAGTGTAATTAACCCTTTAGGGGAGGAAATTTCTTGAGGCTAATGAAATTCATCATGGAAAACATCACTTCCTCTAAAGCCTTTCCAACATCCACTGATTAGACACTGATAAACGCTTCTCCGTCAGACCCAGCACTGCAAACGGTGGGAACAGGTGTTTAATCAACTACATGACCAGTTCTGACAAGCTACATTTGTCTGTTTTCATGAAGTCCTTTGACTTTGTAAAAAAACCGCTCGTATACCTTTAGCACAATTATCTGTGCCAGGTGTCAACAAAACTCCCTGAAACTTTTAGTACTGCAGCCAAAAGCAAACAAGAGAGATGTGCATAAACAAAATCACAGTGATATGAAATCCAAACCAAACATACTGTAGTTGTTTTCAACAAAGAAGCCATTGAGAGTGACTTGCCTGCAGGGGAATATCATTTATATAACAAGTCCTCAAGTTGAAAATGTAAACCAAACATCATTTAGAATCATAAGAAATCTGATTTTTTTTAAATAATAGTTGGTTTGACGGTTTAGATTTGCTACACTCTTAAAAGTAAATAAATGAAGAACCTTTAACATAAATGGAATCTTTCCGTTGCATAAAAGGTTTTTTTTGTGTAAGAAGGTTCTTCAGATCTTCACACTAAAAGCTGGAATACTTCACGACTTTTCAAATCTGAACACTCTTAAAAATAAAGGTGCTTCACGATGCCATAGAAGAACCTTTTTGTCTAAATGGTTTCATAAAGAACCTTTAACATCTGAAGAACCTTTCTGTTTCACAAAAGGTTCTTTGTGGTGAAAGAAGGTTCTTCAGATTATAAAAAGGTAAGAAAGAGATGGTTCTTTAAAGAACCTTTGACTGAATGGTTCTTTGTGGAACCAAAAATGGTTCTTCTATGGCATCGCTTGAAGAACCTTTTGAAGCACCTTTATTTTTAAGAGTGTAGTCACAGAGGAAAACTGGCCATCATACACTAAACGATTGAGGATCACACACTACCAGACTTTAAAGTTGTTCCGATCACAACAAACTCACGCAGAAACATGCGACTTGTTGCTAGGAGATGCGTGACAAATGAAAAAAAATATGCGTTTGCTAAAATCAGCTGAAAATATCAAACATGTCTGATCTCCTCCGACTGGATGGAATCATAGTCTGAAGCTAAAAAAATCAGAGTCTGTGACCATCATACACTACACGATTTTCTATGAAATCTATCAACTCAAATCTGCAGATTGGCTCTGACTTTTGGCATCTATAGCGTCAACTTCTCCAGACAGGAAAAACGTGAAAAATCGTGTAGTAGCCTATATCCCAGCCTTTACAAAAAAAGGGTTATTTTAAGAACTTCTCACCTAAAGGTTGTTTGGGAAACTCAAAATGATATTGCTGCAAACATTGTCTTTTGGAACCTTTATTTTTAAGAGTGCAAGATGCAACTTTACAGTATTTGGAATAAATACAATTTTAAGTATCTAAATGCTTTTTGATCTTCACCATAGATGACAGCACTCAAAAACTGCACGTCTTACTGGAGCTAAAATCATAGCAGGTAGGTCTGCATTAATCATCCGCCCATGAATATTTATGAAGAGATGGAAAGTTTGAGCTTTCGGATCCTGCGGTCTGATTGGTGATTGTGGGGATTTATGAGCCGTCAAGCTCAGCTGAAGATCAGTATAAAGCTGAGGCCATCATCAACCTGAAACACAAACCCACAGAATCGGCAAAACAGCTCGTGTTCTGAATCCTAGGTTTGGTTCGAAGTGCAGACATGCTCCTGAAAAGCGGATTTGTTTTACTCCTCGTTTTGGCTGCATCTGCATTTGGAACAGATCAAGAACCTGCACAACCTAGACGAGCACGATTCTCTGCCAACAGCCCCAGTAAGTATTATTTTCTTTATTGAACTGTCTTTTTGCTTTTTTTATTTTTTATAGGAGTATGCATGGTTAAATGTCCAGAAATTATTAGAAGATCTAAGCAACTTTAGGTTGCTTCAGGACTGCCTGTATAGAAAAAATGTCCACTTTTACACTTCTTTGAAAAAAAGTACCACCCAAAACCGTTGTCTTCTTCCTCCAGCTGAGGTTGCCCGCTGTCTGAACGGAGCTCTGCAGGTGGGCTGCGCAACTTTCGCATGTCTGGAGAACTCGACCTGCGACACTGACGGCATGCATGAGATCTGCAACGCCTTCCTCCACACTGCTGCGATTTTTAATACAGAGGTACCAAGCCTCATTAACCAGAACCCTTTACTTAGTAAATCAAAATTATGCCTTTTTCACTTTCCGTTTGTTTTGCAATGCAAATCCAATTCGTTTTTTACAGGGTAAGACGTTTGTGAAAGAAAGCATCAAGTGCATCGCCAACGGTATCACCACTAAGGTCTTCCAGACCATCAAACGCTGTTCCACCTTCCAGAAGATGATTGCTGAAGTGCAGGAGGAATGCTACAAGAAGCTTGACATCTGCGAAGTGGCCAGATCCAATCCTGAGGCCATCGGGGACGTGGTCCAGGTGCCCAGCCACTTCCCAAACAGGTAATATATAGCGCGAGAACTTGTGTGGCATGCGTGATTGGTCCATATTAGCCTTAAAGGGATAGTAGACGCAAATTAAAATTCGGTCATTTTAATTATGTACTCGCTCTTTTCTTCCATGAAATGAAGAAAATGCAGATCTTTTCTATACAATGGTAGTTAATAGCAATAAATAAATAAGTCCATACGATTTGTTCAGTTTTTTTTTATTTGCAATTTTGCTTTAAACCAAGGATACACACAACAAAATAAACAGTGACAAAATATTAAAATAAATATGATAAAATAAGTATAAGGTGTTTTAACAATCCTAATGCAACATACTGTACAATATAAGGTAATAAATGCAATAATATACCTTATTTTGCGAGGAAGCTATTTTCTGTGAATGCGCGAGACTTCCGATTCATTAATGAAAATAACAAAGTGCAGTAAACGGTTGAAGAACTATTTGTTTCAAGCCAGTGTGCATTAAAATAATGCATTAAAATGGTAAAATATATGATAAGAAATAATAGTTTGCAATAGCAAGAAGCATAACGGGCTGTTTTTGTACAGCTAAAATAACTGGAAGCCAGTGTCACCGGAAGTCTCGCACATTCAAATTTACAGTTTTAAAATAAGGTGGATATTGTGTTCTATATTTTAAGTCGTCTGGTGCCAAATGATACATCTGTGTGAGGAACAGACCAAAATTTAAGTTAAACTTATTTTATGGTGCTTTATGGCAGTGAATCTCAACCTTTTGGCGTACCGGACCCCAGTCCAGTTCAGAACCATCCTCAAGGACCCCCAGAACAAAATTGACTCATCTATGTATGTCTTTGTGAGGACCAAATGTAGTCAAGTATAATTCAAGTTAGTTGACCATATCATCAAGGACATATCATCAGCTATATTGGATTTTTCTTTCATGGGAACATGTCAAAATATACAAAATGTATACAAAAATTCATACTTTATATGGACCCCCTGGCCTTACGTCAAGGACCACTAGGGGTCCACGGACCCCTGGTTGAGAAACACTGCTTTATGGTGTTTTAATAGCTTATTAGCAAACATGGTAACTTTGAACTGCAATGGTTATAAATAAAATTTATGTTTCTCAGAAAGACAACAATTTTTGTTTAAATAATAACAGAATTTTACATTTTGAATGAACTATTCCTTTATATAATAAGCTTACTCAAAAGTGCATACTAATGCATCATACTTTGGTGTTGCAGGTACTACAGCACACTTCTGCAGAGCTTGATGGAGTGCGATGAAGACACCGTGGAGGTGGTGCGAGCCGGGCTGGTGGCCAGACTGGGACCTGACATGGCCACACTCTTCCAGCTGCTTCAAAACAAGCCCTGTCCACCTGAACCTGCTGCCGCTGGGCCTTCTGGGATTGAGGGCCACACCAGCTTCCGCTGGCCTCCCATGTTCAAGATCCAGCCCAACCTGCGCAACAGGGACCCCACGCACCTCTTCGCCAAGAAACGCTCAGTTGATGGAAGCTCTTAAGAGTCACACGACTGCACATCTTCAAAACTATCAGTTTGCACTATGTATCATGCTGATGTGTATAAGTGGAAGATTGTGTCATAATTATGATTTACCAAAGCATGAGTTTTTCTCATAAAGTCATACATACACAGAAAGTATCATAAGTATCTCACAAATTAGACTTTGTATCTCGTAATTTTTTTATCTCATGACTGAATATGACATAAAAAGTCATAATTATTATTTACCAAAGCATTTTTTTATGTGCCAGAATTTGGCTTCCATAGTCAGGAGTGGGTGAAGGCTATTCATTTATCTTGACCTTGATCCTTTGTGATCAACTGCATTACGTCATTGACAAGAGATGATTGTAACCGCACACTTTTCTAAAAAAAAAAGCTAAAGCCAATTTCCAAACTTCCCAGAATCAAGACAACAGTGGTCTGGTACTGTTTCCTAACTGAGGCCGAACAAATAAACATCTAATCAAGTGATCCTAGAAAGCAAGTAGAACATTTCTTAGTTTGCTCTTGGGTGTTTTGCGGGCAAAAGGAACACATGGGAAACAACTGGTATAAACAGACAGACGATACTGTTATTATCCTATAAAGTTACATCACAAAGGCTTTTAAATGTAGTCTTTCCTGCATAAATGATGATGGAGAAAAGAGCAAACAGACCGATCAAGTTACAGCTGCCAATGTGTGAGAGTGTTTATGAGACAATGGAAAAGAATAAAGTGAATGTCTGTTTTACAGCTATAAAATATGATCTCATTTTGGGACATGAGCACTCATTCAAATGTCATTTGTTATTCTTTGCACATTGTATCATAGTCTGACTTGTTCACTATTTTCTTTCATGGATATAAATAGATTATTTTCTGTCTGTTCTAATATTTGCCACACTGCTATGCCGTTTCATCTGTAAATAAGAATCTGCCTTGAATATTTATAACCTGCCTGTCCTATTCTTACCTTGTCCTCTTGGCTCTCTTTATAGGCTATCTGGGTATCCAGCCCAATCAAAACGTGTCAGCACATCAGCCCTATCGTAAACACAGACAGACACGCAGCTAAAAAGGTGTTATGAACAGTGTTGGGGAAGTTACTTTTAAAAGTAATGCATTACAATATTGTGTAACTCCATAAAAAACAGGTGTCATGAACAGTATTGGGGAAAGTTACTTTTAAAAGTAATGCATTACAATATTGTGTAACTCCATAAAAAAGTAACTAATTACGGTACTTAGTTACTTTTTATGGAAAGTAATGTCAAAATCAAAATCAAAAGTAACTCAGATATTCTCTTGTAAATTAAAAAGTAATGCAGTACTTTACTAGTTACTTGAAAAAAGTAATCTGATTACGTAACTCACGTTACTTGTAATGAGTGATCATTACACCTTGACACTGAAACCATGAGAGCTTCGAGAAATAAACACAATGAGTGACACACCGGCACCTCAATGCAGCGACAGCTCTCAAAACACTCAGTATGTGCAGGGATGTAGAATGACTTGTGAGGTGTGCTTTACTCATGGCTATCAATAGACAATGAACCTTTTTGCCTGTGAAATTTCGTTATTGACAACACCTCAACAAGCTGCTACATAAGGACTACAAAGTCAACTAATAATTTTAAAGTGCACAACAGATTCAAAATGTTGAGGTATAGAACAAAACATGAAAAAACATAATCACAGAACAAAATTTATGCTATAGGCTCATGTAAACATTCCTAACACGCTGCTAAAGGTTTACAACTACTGAACAGTGTTGCCAGACGTACGATAATTTTGACCTCTGTACGATCAATAATGAAAAAAATCCCATAATGTACCATAATGTACGATAATTTTATGACAATTCAAATGATTGTAGTTGTAGTCAAAGGGCTTCTATATTCATACACGAAATCGGCTCTCATTACACACTCTAAATGCGCTCGTGCTCACCTCAGAGTGTGTAAGAATGCATGAGGGTCAGTGTTGCCAGACTGGATGGACGATTTCCAGCCCAAAAGCTCACAAAAACCCGCCCAAAACTTTAACTGTCAAAATAATGTGATGGAATATGTAAATCAAGGTTGATAAGGGCCATTTTTAACTCCTTAAAACAAAATAATGTTTACAAAATAATTTATATAGGCAAACGTTAGATACATTTCGCAGGTAAACGGATCGAATCGGGGCAAATAGCCTACATTAAAGGGAATTAGGCTACCGAACATGAATAAAATATTCAAGCTGACACTGTCAAAACGGCAATCAAGAAATGCATCATTTTCAAGGTCAGCAGTCAGAATAATCCAATTTAAATGCAAAAAGGGCCCAATATAAGTGATAGGAAAAAGCAACGTTGCAGGTAGGGGGAGCACGGGGCACAAGGTAAAGCGTGGTAAGTTGTAACACACGTGGTTTAAATATTTCCACACATGCGAGCATAACCAAATTTACAGCATTTACTAGTTACTATATCAACATTATATAGAGAAAAAGTGCGCCAAAATTCAAAAGTCTTAGATATGCTGTGCTAAGTCTTTAGCCTACAGCTTGGTAACGTAACACCTTTACGGAGCCCAAATAATTACATCTGTTTGCTCAAATGTTTGTCTTGAGGCCTTTGGTTGTAATGACAGCACTTGAGTCGTTTATCCAGGACTTTCCTCGACCATCTGTCAGAGGTGATCATGGCCAACGGTTAATTGCACCTCATGGCCCATAAGCTGCTCATAAAGGCAGGTGTGTAGTCCATAGATAGCTTTTACAGGGGTGCGATGGCACAAACAGACCGGCAGATGTGACTCCTATTTCCAGGCATTAATACAATTATTTTTCTGTTAAAAGCAACAAGATTACTGAGATTGAAAAGACAAAGATGCTAAAAGGTTTCTGATGGATTAAGCAAATGAAACACATCCTGATATTCAAGTCACTGTAGCTTAGCGTGTCATTCTAATAACAATTTTACATTCTTTACATTTTTTTATTTAAAATCAATCAAATGTATCTGTTATATTTTCAGACGAGAGACACTTGAATGATTGAATTTTGAGTTTGGATTGTAAAATAGATTGCCAAATTGGATTCAGTCTACTGAAAAACTGCTTAGCATTAATCAAAGATCTAAAGCCAGTGTGCTTAGCTGTCTTGTTTCACTGGCATGAGAGTTTTTCCTCCTGATATATAGCCTGACGCTGCTGTGTTTGCTCTTGGTGTTGGCGTGGTTAATCGATGAGGGCCGGCAGAGGGGAAAACACTTTCTTCTCACCGTTAATCATGTGCATAGCTCTCGCTCAAGCTTTCAACATGAGTGGACGGTCGGCAACTTCTTACGCACTTGCCCTTCCAACAACCTCGGGACTGGCCTGTGAGTTAAGATGTTTGGTTCGCCTGTCATTTATTTCCTGCATGCATGAGCTACATATACAAATGCCAGCTTCAGATCATATTTTATATATAACATTTTTTTATTTATATTCCCACAGGAAAGGCAGTGAAAGCCTGAATATAAGTGCATGGCCACCGCCTCGAAATTCACATCAGGACATACCATAAACAATCACACAAAAATCACAACTCTATTTGAGAACAAAATGTACACTGTTCCTCACAAGTTGCCAATCCTGTCATATAAACCCTGTCGTTTGAGAGTCTAGCTTCAAATTATGAAGACGCTACAGACATGCTATGCTCTGAAACTGGTGCTAACAGATTGTCAACCACCAGGCTAATGCTAAACAGACATACATATTCCAGCGGTTTCATATTAAGAGTTACAAAACATTCATTCACACTTGAATTAAGTCTTTCAGGACACCAAACAAACTGTAATCATACCTTACGATCGTAACAGCAAGCAATGAGTAACAGATTTCATTTGTAGCTTATTTTAACATATAGAAAGTCTCCCATTAATCTGTGTGACACCATCTTCTATACAGGCACGAGATGAATTTTTTTTAACCATAAGTTATTCATTTTTCCACAGTGAAAGAGAAAATGCAACACAATCACAACCAGCCAGAACATATTTGACGTTTAAAGGTGAAGTGTGTAATTTCTGCACGACTAGCATTGACAAACAGCAAAAAATTACTGTTTTCAAACAGGTTTCCTAAACAATTACTCCATCTGCCATTGGTCAAACAAACAGATAGTCACGCCCCAAATTCAAGCTATTGGTCAAGCAAACACTGCAGACTGTTGAAGTTGTGACAACTGTTGTGACTGGTAAACATTCATTCACACTTGAATTTAGTCTTTCAGGACACCAAACAAACTGTAATCATACCTTACGATCGTAACAGCAAGCAATGAGTAACAGATTTCATTTGTAGCTTATTTTAACATATAGAAAGTCTCCCATTAATCTGTGTGACACCATCTTCTATACAGGCACGAGATTAATTTTTTTTAACCATAAATTTTTCATTTTTCCACAGTGAAAGAGAAAATGCAACACAATCACAACCAGCCAGAACATATTTGACGTTTAAAGGTGAAGTGTGTAATTTCTGCACGACTAGCATTGACAAACAGCAAAAAATTACTGTTTTCAAACAGGTTTCCTAAACAATTACTCCATCTGCCATTGGTCAAACAAACAGATAGTCACGCCCCAAATTCAAGCTATTGGTCAAGCAAACACTGCAGACTGTTGAAGTTGTGACAACTGTTGTGACTGGTTAGAACACTGTGCTGCATATCATGTTCTTAAGTTCATGAATTAAGCTCATACAAAATAATTATAATTATAATAGTAATATAAAACCATTGTGTTTATATAATTTCATATTTGTACAATTTAACCACATTTACAAAGCCAACATTCTCTACTGGGTAACACTTGAAATTATTTCTCCACCCCATTGACTTTGTTGGGGTCGACAACCATTTCATCCTTCTGTGATGCTTTTCAAACATCTTATTTGTGAGGATTGAACCCACTGAAGGACAATCGAAGGACAGAAAGTTTGATAGTTCCCCACGTGAGACACACTGTTGTGATCAGTCTTGTTTTTGAGAGTGCTGGTATGAAACATTTCCTCCTGCGTGCGTTTCTGTGCTAGAACGGCCCAGGC